GCTTCCAAAACTGAATTAGTTGCCATACTCACAGCTATTAAATTCATTGAAACCACTGTTACTGACAGTCTCATCATCACTGACTCTCTATCCTCACTACTTGCCCTTGGTACCCTCGACTCAGGTTGTCACGCTCTTGCCTCTGAAGCCAGACACAAATATATGCGTGCCTTGTTGACCGGGGTGTCAAGGTCAAACTGTTGTGGATCCCCTCTCACATAGGCCTCATAAAACATGACAGAGTTGATGCCCTCGCCAAACTCGCGTCTAACAAAGACACCGTTGAATACAATTTGGGTCTGTCAAAAAGAACCCTTAAAACTGTAATTAGGAAAGAACTTATTGATGAGTTTGACGCAAGTAGACAAGTGCAAACAGGCACTAGTCGATCCATAGGTTACCATGATGAGATGTATCAAGTGAAACATGTATATGGAGCAAGTAACAAGATCACTAGATTACAAGATGTTGTAACCGCTAGATTAAGGTTAGGATATAAGTACCTTTGGCAGTATGTTCCTCAAGCAGATGTAAACAAAACTAACTGTAAAGTGTGTGGCCATACATATGGCCACACACTTGAACACTACGTCCTCGACTGTGTGAAGATAGAACCTTTTAGGGACAGGTCCAATCACACTGTGTGTGAAATGGCACAATACTTCATCTCTAATGGCAAGATAGCCGATATATTAAGATTGTATCCACTTTTTTGCACTTAGTAACTCTATCAATTCTCATGTACAGAACCAAATACGCAATGTGCTTGAATACCTCTCACGTAAATGTGAATAACAAAGTGTGAGGCCAGACATACTGCCTCACACGCCTGTACTCACGCATTTGTGAATAAGTTACCCTTTATGTATAGAACTAAACAAATAATGTAATGAAATACTGTGTAACATTCAGTGTCATAATATCCTGACAACGGGGGTTAATTATTATAACCCTTTGTAAACCCTACTCTGTAATCCTTTTGCGCTTCCGCTCACAGGATGAGTGTGGGGTGCACAATAAAGTAGCCGCTGCAAGCGGCAAAATCAAAATCAAATCAATCTAAAACACCCACAACAGCCACCACTAAAACACCGACAACAGCCACCACTAAAACACCCACAACAACCACCACTAAAACACCCACAACAGCCACCACTAAAACACCCACAACAGCCACCACTAAAACACCCACAACAGCCACCACTAAAACACCCACAACAGCCACCACTAAAACACCCACAACAGCACACACATAAAAACACTAAAACACCAACAACAGCCACCACTAAAACACCCACAACATACCACTAAAAACATCCACAACAGCGACCACTAAAACACCCACAACAGCCACAACTAAAACACCCACAACAGCAACCACTAAGACACCCACAACAACAACCACTAAAACACCAAACAACAGTAACCACAAAACACCCAACAGCCACCACTAAAACACCCACAACAGCCACCACTGAAACACCCACAACAGCCACAAAACACCACAACAGCCACCACTAAAACACCCACAACAACACCACTAAACACCCACAGCCACCACTAAAACACCCACAACAGCCACCACCCAAACACCCACCACCACTAAAACACACAACACCACCACTGAAACACAACAGCCACCACTGACCAACACCGACAAAGTAAACTAAGACACCCACAACAGCCACCACTAAAACACTAACCACTAACACCCACAACAGCCACCACTAAAACACCCACAACAGCCACTCACCCACAACAGTCACCACTAAAAACACCCACAACAGCCACCACTAAAAACACCCACAACAGCCACCACTAAAACACCCACAACAGCCACCACTAAAACACCCACAACAGCCACCACTAAAACACCCACAACAGCACTAAACACCCAAACACTACAGCCACCACTAAAACACCCACAACACCACTAAAACACTCACAACACCACTCATAATACACACAACTGCCACCACCCACACAGCCACCACTCACAACACCACACACACAGCCACCACCCAAACCACCACAACAGCCACCACCCACAGCAGCCACCACACACAATAACCACCACACCAACAGCCACCACACAACAACCACACCCACAGCCACCACCCACAACAGCTACCACCACCAGCCACCACACACACCACCACCCCAGCCACCACCCACAACAGCCACCACCCACAACAACACCACCTACCACTGCACCACACACACCACCCACAACAACCACACACAACCCACCACCCACAGCCACCACCCACAGCCACCACACACAACCACCACCCCACACACCCACAATACCAGGCCACCACCCACAACCACCCACCCACTCCGCCACCACACACAACAACCACCCACAACAACCACAACAACCACCACCCACAATACCACCACAACAGCCACAACCCACAACAGCCACCACTCACAACAGCCACCACACACAACAACCACCACCCACAACAGCCACCACCCACAACAGCCACCACTCACAACAGCCTCCACTCACAACAGCCACCACTCACAACAGCCTCCACTCACAACAGCCACCACTCACAACACACACAATAGCCACAAATATTTAACACTCACTGCCAGGACAGCTCATGTCCAGTATCAGTAACTCCCATCCAGTAGTCCTTCTCGTTGAGTTCTGCAAAAATGAAGGTTTTGGTCAAGGATTACTGTACTGTACTACTGTATCATACAGTATACCATACTGTACTGTACCGTGCCATACCGTACTGTATTGTGTCGTGCCGTACTGTACCGAACTGTGCTGTGCTGTACTGTACCGTGCCATAGTGTACTCTATTGTGCCGTACTGTGCTGTGCTGTACTGGTACTGTACCGTACCATATTGTACTGTATTGTGTCGTGCCGTACTGTACCGAACTATAGAACATAAGAAAATAAGAAGTCTGCAATAGGCCGGTTGGCCTGTGCATGGCAGCTCCTGTCGAGAGTTACTACCACTCTCTATCATCCATGAATCTATCTAGCCTCCTTTTGAAACTGGCACCGTACCGTACTGTGCTGTACTGTACTGTACTGTACTGTGCTGTGCTGTGCTGTGCTGTACTGTAGTCTTGTGGAATTATTGTTTGTACAGGTCCTCTACAGAATTCATAGGAGTACAGTAAACACTCGAAGATCCGTACCCGGGAAATCCGGATTTCGGAAGATCCGGACAAAATTTTGGGGGTTCTGGGCTAAGAAGCTTCCTAGAAGTTTCCCTAAGAAACATTCCTAAACCAGAGCAAAGAACAATTTAGGCCCGTAGGTGCTGCGTGACCCGTCGGTTATTTGTGTATCACTACATTAGTATTGTATTTTTGGTGTTTCTTATATCATTTATTATTAGCCGGAAAATCAGGACAATCGGCTTTTCCTGACAGGTGGTCCCCTCATTTAGTCCGGATCTTCTTGGGTTCACCGTCTTCTTTATTAGTTTATTTTTATTTATCATTGCACCATTTATCAGCTAACTGGCCATTCATGTGGTTGGTTTCTTTGTTATTTTGGTATGACCTTTATGTTGAGTGTCGGTACAGTACAGGAGCAAACCCAGAGAAAAGCTGCTACATTTGGTAGTCTCACTGGATAACATCCTTCTCATGCCTGTTCCAGGTATGGGATTGAACCCAGGACACAATAGTGAAAGATACATATGTAGGAAAATATTTTTTAGAAGTTTAAAGAAGTGTGTGTAGGAGTGAACTCTTGGGAGTATTTGCAAGATTTGTGTTTTTTGAGTCATCAGAATTCCTAGTAAGAGTGAAGGATATACTGCTGTTTATAATTCAATGGCTAAAAGGTTTTTGGAAGGATTACCTGGATGGTGAACTGGAGAGACTGAGTTTGAATATATAGATGTCTGAGATCACCTGAAGATTAAGCACCCTACCCTATTTCACCTGATGATTCAACACTGCAATTCTACCTAGGGGGTGTTAGGTTAGGTCAGGTGACTGATGTCTGGGATGTGAGGTAAATATCCTACTTTAATCCTCAAACTTTCTTTCATATCTCTTCTTCTCTTGTCTCTAATTTTACTACTGTATTTCACCTTTCTCCTTGTATATTTTCATACCCACTATTTGTTATTTTTTGTTGCCTTTGTTTTCCTCTTTCATTCTATCTGCCAGAGAAGTGTGGATCCCTGCCACAACCTGCTACTCTACTCCTTCTTACACTATGGTGATGACCTGAACCTAACCCATTAATCCCTTGTTGTCTCCATCTGCTATCCTTTCTTCCTTCGTTCCTTCTCCCTTCCCACTTACGGTTAGTGTGGAGATGGTTGAGGAGGTCTCTGTAGAAGTCGCAGTCAGTGCCCTCTTCGAACCAGAGGATGTCCCCGTGATGGCTCTGGCACACGTTCCTCACCTCTTGCATAGACCCCAAGATGAAGGGATCAATGTAGATGCAGCGTCCCCCGATGGCAGCGTAGGGGTGGATGCACTGTTGACCTGTAAGGGAGAGTAATTGAGTGTTGTAGCAATGGTGGGGATTAGAGTGGGAATGTTGGGGCAGTGGTGAAAATTGTGCACTTGTGATGGTGAGAATGTTGGAGCAGTGGTGAAGATTATGTACTTGAGATGGTGAGAATGTTGAGTTTATTGAGTAAAAATTCATACAGTGCATACATACATATACAGGTACAAAATTTACCAAGGATAATACTTATTTCCAGTGTGGTGAAGATTGTGCTGGATATGGTAATGGTAATACTTTTACTTTTACTTTTATCCTCTTCGCCACTGATCGGCTTGTTAGCCGCTTGGGCGATCGGTCACGTCTCTTTTCCTTTATATTCTTCACCAAAAGGTCGGCTCGCTAGCCGCCCGGGCGATCGGTCACGTCTCTGTCACGCACTGTTGGCAAATACTGGGCATGCACCGGCTCCTGAATGTACCTGAACCCGCTCCAGTGTTGGTCAAGTCTTCTCTTGAAAGAGCTCACACTCGGTGCCGTCACAACACTCTTTGGTAGATTGTTCCAAGAGTTTACAACCCTCACTCCGAAAAAGTTTGCCCTCACGGTTTTCTGGACTTGCGGCTTCTTCAATCTTGAGCTGTGACCCCTTGTGGGGCGAGCGTCCGCCAGCTCCAAGTAAGGACACTCAACTGAGTAGTGCCCCCTGAGATGCTTATAAACCTCAACTAGGTCCCCCCTTGCCCGTCTGTAGTATAAGCTAGGCAAGTTCAGGCGCTCCAATCTCTCAGGGTAGCTGAGGTGCCGAAGTGCAGGCACCAGTTTGGTGGCCCTCCTTTGAACATTTTCAACCAACTGACAGTCCCTAGCATATCTCGGGGACCAGATCGGGTGACAGTACTCCAGATGGGGAAGCACTTCACTCCTGAAGATCGTCACGAGGGACGGACCGTGTAGATATCTGAACGACCTTCTTATAAGACCCAATAATTTATTTGCCTGATTTTCCTTCTTCTCACAATGGCCCGAGAACTTCAGCCCATTGTCAACATACACACCTAGGTCCTTCTCACACACAGTCTCAACTAGTACATTTTCTTCATCCCGTTGGGACATATGGTACGCCTCCTTACCGTTGGTACGTCCCAGGTGCATCCTCTTACACTTCGTGACATTGAATCTCAGCAGCCATTCCTTCGACCATTCCTGGAGCCCACAGAGGTCCTTCTGCAGCTCTTCACAGTCCGCTTGGTTCTTAATGGTGGGTATGGTGGAGCAATGCTCAAGTGGTGGTGGGAATAGTGCAATGTTGTGGTTTGTTATGGTGTATCTGAACCTATTAACCTGTGAGTGGATACAAGGATGCCTCACTACATCCCTCAAACAACCTAAGAACTTTTATTTTCTTGACCACTATACAGAGGTCACAGGTCACCAACAAACCACGTGACCATTTGGAGGAGATATTATGTATTAGCTTGCGACTGATCACTTTTATAGTTTTATGTAAATACGTATACTGTATATTTTGTTATCAAGATAAACAGGCGTATTTTCACACGTGCACAGAATATTGTTATTGGCTGGTAAAGACCCAACAGGCTCTCACAAATCCAGACCAAAGTGAAGACCTATTTATCTTATCTCAACTTGTCTGTTAATTTGTGACTATACAGTAGACTGAAGGATGTGACTGAGTGGTAAATGTTCCTTAGTGCACATTACAGTACTAGGTTAGGTTAGTCTAGCAAGAGTACACTTTACGTTATCAAGTACAGTACACTCGTCTGCATCTCCCTAAGTCCATCAGTATAAGGAAATTCACAGTTTTAAGATAATAGTGAAAAAAATAAAGATACAGTAATGTGTATCTTTTAGGTAACAGTTTAGTAGCAGGTAAATCTGCTCTTAAGAGAATACAGTACTGTACTGTATTGTCTTGACTTTGGGGAAATAATACAGTACTGTATTATAATGATTTGTTATTATTAAAAAAAATGAGTAGACGAAGAAAGTCATGAGTTGTTGAATAATGTACTGTATACATATAGAATCTAGGAGAACATTGTGACTAGTTTTAAAGAAGCTTACCCATGGTGAGGGCAAATAATAATAATAAGAGGAGGAGGGGCTTACCCATGGTGAGTGCAAATAATAAGAGGAGGAGGAGAGTAGTGGCCATGCTGAGGTGTACCGTGGAGTGGGTCTAGTCCTCACCACCACCACCTTTATACCCAACAGCAGCCTCACCACCTCTTACATCATACTCCCAAATACTGTGCAGTATATGGGAATATTGTGGTCACACACACACACACACACACACACACACACACACACACACACACAACGGTAATATCTGAGTGTAAGAAACTTAAGAGCAGTATTTGTACTACAGTTATGCTCTTGCTAGTGTGTATGGATGTGATTGCTTTTGTCTATATAGATGTGTGTGTGTGTTCTGTGTACCCGTAGTTCTTTGTGTAGGTGTATGTGTGTGTGTACAGTGTATATATATATATATATATATATATATATATATATATATATATATATATATATATATATATATAACTATATATATACACACAGTATGTACGAGTATATATGCAAGTAAATCACTGTAGGTGTGCGTGGTCTGGTATATGCTGATAACCACAAGGAAAAGAAGAAAAAACGGTTCGTGTTTTCTTATCCTTCTCTCTATACTCCAACATGATTTATATATATATATATATATATATATATATATATATATATATATATATATATATATATATATATATATATATATATATATATATATATATATATATATATATATATATATATATATATATATATATATATATATATATATATATATATATATATATATATATATATATATATATATATATATATATATTTTTCCATGTAGTCACAATGAAAACGTGGATAAGATAAATCTTGGTAAAAATCACACGGGGGAAAAGGGAAACAGGTAAGGTCAGGTAAAAAATAAGGGACCCACTAAATAACAATCCTACAAACTTGCAAATGTAGTTCCGATTTTCAAAAAGGGTGATAAATCAATAGCATCAAATTACCGTCCCATTAGTCTCACGTCAATCATAGGCAAGTTGCTAGAGTCAATTATTGCTACAAAAATCAGAAGCCACCTTGAAACATTCAACTTAATTCATTCTTCTCCTTACGGGTTCACCCAGGGACGTTCTTGTCTCCTACAAATTTGTAGCTTTTTCTCAAGTATATGAAGCGGTAGATAATGATAAGTCATATGATATAATTTATTTAGATTTCAGTAAAGCATTCGATAGAGTCCCTCATGAGAGATTGATAAGGAAGGTAGAAGCACATGGAATAGGTGGATCAGTATTAAAATGGATTAGGTCATGGTTAACTGGTAGGAAACAAAGAGTCAGCATAAATGGATTAAAGTCAGACTGGGGTGCGGTCAAAGCGGAGTTCCCCAGGGATCTGTATTAGGCCTCTGCTGTTTGTTATATTCATTAATGATCTTGATTTAGGCATAACTAGTAGGATTAGTAAATTTGCAGATGATACCAAAATGGGAGAGTGATAAATTCAGACAGTGACTTTGAACACCTTCAAAGAGATCTAGATACCTTACATGAGTGGTCAGTAGACTGGCAAATGAATTTTAATACTGATAAATGCAAGGTACTACAGATAGGAAGACGAATACAAACGTTAAGTATAAACTAGGTAACACGGAAATAGAAAACTCAGTTTGTGAAAAAGATCTAGGTGTATTTGTTGCAACGACTTGGAAACCTAGAAAACAATGTATTAGCGTTCGCAACAAGGCAAACAGGATTCTTGGGTTCATATCTAGGGTCTGTGAGTAACAGAACTGCTGACGTTATCTTGAAACTTTACCTAGCATTAGTGAACACATGGATTATGCGGTTCAGTTCTGGTGTCCTTATTATAGAATGGACATAGATTCTTTGGAGAGTACAAAGAAGAATGACAAAAATGATCCATAATATTGAAACCTTCCATATGAAGAAGACTGAAAAGCTTAGGCTTACATTCATTAGAGGCGTAGAGTTAGGGGAGATATGATGAGGTGTACAAGTGGTAAAGTGGGATTAACAAGGGTAAAATGGAAGATGTTCTGAAGCTCAGTAATAACAGAAATAACTAGAACAAATGGCTTTAAATTGAGATAATTCCGATTCAGAAAGGATATAGGCAAGCACTGGGTTGGTAATAGAGTTGTGGATATGTGGAATAGGCTACCGAGTGCTATAGTAGGATCGGGGACGCTAGGGAGCTTCAAGACGAAGTTGGATAGGCACATGGAAGTGCTGGGATGGGTGTGAAAGGGATCTGCCCTGTATGGGCCAGTCGGCCTCCTGCAGTATCCCACTTTCTTATGTTCTTATGTTCTTATGTACATCTAGCTGCAAGGTTTTCACGTCGCCCCCTTTCTCTACGTGTGTGTTGGTGTGGGGATTAGTGGATGACATCATTATGACCTGACCTCATGTTTAATAAGGTCACCCTGTATATTTAAGCCTCTCTCTGTCCATGTAATCCAGTTGCCTCTGAAGCTGTCTTGAATAAGAA